GAGTTGTCTTGTAAACTCATGAGCGTGTATGAATTTCTCATTTGTACATACATATTTGCACACTAAAAATAATTTTTTCAAAATAGTTCGCCACCCAATTTTAGCAGAAAATCGCTTCTAGTACACTGTGCCATTTAGAAGATAAATATAATATTTTAGTTACTATTAAAGACATAGTGGAAATAAGTATAAATATACAGGCTGCCACAAGGTTATTTAATATTTAGCTTAAGTGTTATGCTCTGTTGTAGTTGTAAAAGTTAAGACAAACGTGAGATCATTCAACATAGTCAACAAAGTCATTAAAATATATTATTTTGCACAACTGCAATAAGTACCAAAGTAATTAAGTTTTCTTAAATGACAAATTTCTTAAGTGATTCGTTAAACCAAACCTTATCCTTGTGCAATTTTATATTTCGTGGAATGCCTAACCCATAGCTGTTATTATTCTTTAAGTTGTTTACCAACTAGCGTTGGACATATCACTATTTAAGTAAATGTTCTGTTTCGCATCGATCAAGAGTTACGTACCATTACACACACAAATAAATACATAAAATTGCAAACAACCTATCAACTTTCTTCTCTAGTTTAAAGTTTTGCAAGCCAGTTTACTATGTGATGTATCGCAATTCTATATATATAGCCGTGGCTACTTTATTTAATACTTAATTTAATCTGAAATAGAGTCGTCGAAAACTTTATATTGCTTCATTTACTCAAACTTGCATATGTAGACTGCTATATCTGTAAATACTTTATGTTCGTTCTGGGTGAAAGTCCTTGGCAAGGTTTATTTAAAGTTGGGGAACCAATATGTAAGACTGAAATATATTGAGGAAATTCCCGCAGCACTTGATAACACGAGGTAAGTTTTGTAAAATAATTTATCAAACTTTGGCAAATTAAAAAGACGCCCTTGATCTGAGTAAGTTTACAAAAAATTGCAAGCTAATTTTCCTTCCAAATATTTGTAACATTTTTTAAAACGTTGTAAATTTAGAGAATTTACGAGTTTTCAATGTTACCAAGTGTTAATTGCATAATTATTTGTTTGAATAGTTCTGCATCTGTAATCCTAAAATGAATCCGGAAACGTCACGATTTTTTAAAATTCCCTCAACTTACACTAAATTAATAAGCATAGCACTAACCGCTGCCTCCATCACGCATGGATTTTCAATTTCTTGTATTAACCAGAAGACGCGGATTTGTTCAAGAAACAAGTTGCATTTGTTCCTCGCGTGTGCTTCTATTTTATCAGAAATTTTGAGGGTTGCCATTTACCTGGAATGGTTTCATGGCCACGTTTTTTGCCCAAAAGATTCTAATTCTGTCGAGACTTCGATGTGGAAACAAATCATGATGTTTTACTTTGTCGAGGCTGTCACTATTATTACCGTTATTAAAGGGATCCTTTTATGGAGACAAGACGAGATGGAAACATTGACCAAGGCATGTTTCGATTTCGAGTTATTGATCAACGTTATGGCAAGTAAGGCAACATTTACATAAATAAATGTGTTTGAAAACAGCGCTTGTATTTAGGACGAGTTTGCATTGCTATTTTGAAATTTTGCAATTGAAAGTTAAACACTGCAAAAAAGTGTTTTTTTAGAGCTATTTTGACCTGAAGGAAATGCAACTAGAAACTATTTACATACTTCCCGACGCTATAGGTCATATGCCGCGTCGCTAGATGGCGCATATTTCTTGTACTTTCCCACAGTTTTTGGCATCTTGTATGAAGTCCTTTTTCTTAGGTGAAGGGAAAGTAACCATAAAGTGATCATGTTAAAAGATCACCATGGTTACGGCGAAGCCTAGGTATGCATTCAGCTGCAACTTTGAGAAACTCCCACTGAGATTTCTCCCCAACCGTTCGTTGTACGGAAAACATGTTGAAACAAAATAGTTAGAGAATTCGGTTCTACAGTGACATTTTTCTTATTTTTTCCAAATTCTAATTCCTTCAGGTAGAAAGTCCGATGGGTAAAGTTGCAAATCGATTTCTTGGCATCAAGGAAGTATTTCCCACCGGGGGCTTGCCATTTTTACTATTCTCCTGGATAATACGCACATTTTAAGCCTTTATTCAACTTAATCGGATGAAAACTCAAGGGATTAGAGCTTTTTGAAATATTGTCATTAAGCAACCTATTTACGTATATATACAGGTGTTAGGTTACTGGTTGCTAACGTATGCTAATAATGAGGGTATTCATTATTTCTTCGTATCCGTAGTATCATAAAATAGTTTACGAAGAAAAAACAAGGGGTCAGGTTTAGTAAAAATCGTAAGCGTAGTAACGTGATTTTCGATGAGAAAATCTTACGACGCTTACAAAATCTCGTAAGCGTCGTAAGTATTTTACGATACGAAGAATACTAAGGATACGAAGAAATAATGAATACCCTCAATGTCAGGTTTATTTTTTATTAGCATTACTATTTCAACATATGTAACATTCCTTAAAATTCTGAAAAATTAAGCATTGATCAAATTCCATGAAATACAATGTTACTGATCCACCCACTCGGGATTAAATTAGTATGCCACGCATTCACCCATGGGAAAGTTCACAACGTTTAAGAATTGATATTATGATTTTATACATTTAAGTTCACACTTCACTAAAAATAATTAAATAAATAAATTTTAAAAAACAAACTTAGGTGAAGGACGCGCTTAAAATATTAAAACAAGAAGCATTACAAAATGTTACAATATCGTTTAATATTTTGTAACTTTTCTTCACCGTGGGCCCAACTAACAGGGAAAAAAATACTTTCAGGCATTTTGTGTAAACGAAATACGTAATTTTTATATAATAAACTTGCTAGATTTGAATTATTATCTTTCAATAAATAGTGACTTTGCACATGTGGTATAGAGAAAATTTGCCAACGTCTGACTCATTTTAATAACTATCCCTGAAGCAGATAGACTTATCGTTTTAATTGTCGCTCTTTTAGTTGCATTTAGTGTTAATTATCGCTGTGAAAATGAAATAGGTAGTTGGGCCCACGGTGAAGTAAAAGTTACTAAATATTAAACGATATTGTAACATTTTGTAATGCTTCTTGTTTTAATATTTTAAGCGCGTCCTTCACCTAAGTTTGTTTTTTAAAATTTATTTTTAGCTTCTTCCATTCCAGTGCACGAAGTGTATAAAAGCACTACTTGTGGTAGCTCGGAAATGATTTTGTATAAAGCTTAGCGAGATTTATTTTTTTGCGAACGATGCCAACTCGTCGTACTCCTAACTGTAGGTATGATATCCAATTTTTGTAGGGTCTCCAAACTATGTGAGTCTCAAATCTGTCGTGATAGTTTTTATCTTTCTGGGAACATCTCTCGGAATTCCATTCATGGGCCTGGTCCTTTCTCTCTGGATGCCATGCATGCCTCCCCTATTCACGATGGGGATGAGATCTTGCGAATCGTGGGGTGGAAATGGAGGATTATCCTTAACAATTAAAATTATCCTGGGGCTGTTTGAATCGTATAATTTCTCAGCAATTTGTGGCCCACTGATCTATGCCATGCTGGGATTTCTCTACTATCCAACATTACTGTTGGAGGCTTGGCTAAAATTGTTGCAAAGGTACCTATATTCCGCACTTCTGTATTTAATATGGAGATGGCCTATTATATGCCCTCTGATTTTGACCAAATTGGTGTAAATCGATCATAAATGAAATTAGTAAGAAATTTGCAAACGACATGATCTCCACATTCGGAAGGTTAAGCAGAGATATTTGCATCCGAAGAGAAGAAAACTTGCAGTAAATTTGAAAAGCATAAAATTTGACAATTTTATGGCGCGCGTTTTCTCTTTTTAGGATGCAAATATCTCCGCCAAACCAGTGCATTGAAAGATTGCGTCTTTTGCTAATTTCATATTACATAAATTCTGTTACTGATTGACACTAATTTCGTCAAAATCTGAGAGCATACGCTGGGAGGCCTCCCTTGTGAATAGCTAAATTTAACTTCATTTTATAAGTACTGCTCAAATTTTATTGCCATTCCAAGAGAAATTCTGAACCTGCCATCCATCGCAGTTCAATATCGTCTCGCCCAAAGTTTCTCAAACTTGACCAATTTCGTGCTACGGACGCCAATCATGTCCATGATCCTGGGATGGGCGATGATGGCCGAAGTTACGACGCTGTACGTCTTCATGACTGCACAAAACTTACCGTACGCCGTTGTCGTGTACATGGGAGCCATGGCGACGAACATGTTCATCCTGATTCAAGTCGTCTTTCGTGCCTTGTCCGTCCCATACTTGACATCCAGAAAGTTTGCTAGGTGCCAAGGTCAACCGAGGGGGAAGTGGTTGTCGAAATTCTTGAGGTCATGTTCCCCCCTCAAAGTATCTGTGGGAGATGGAAACTTCTTTGATAGACTGACATCGCTGGTAATTTCCAACATGTGTTTGGACATGTTGATTACTCTACTGCTGACAGAGGCTTAAGAAAAATTAAAGAAGAATAGCAAAATTACTCATCTACATATGTAACTCGGTAATACTTATTCTGGATATAATTATTAAATATTATAACTTTAATCATGGATTTAATTTTCATATGCAAAAGTTGTTAATAAAGATGCAAGTAAATCTAAATTTAATTAATTAATTACTCATAAGCTATTTATCCGTACACATTATAGAATTTTGTAATGAGCATAGTCATGACAATATCTTATTTCGCATCGCAACTCATTTATCAAACTTGTGAAACGTGAAGGGATTTCGAATCAAAATACGATTTCGCAAATCTGTACAAATAGAATAATCTTGTGAAATGAAAACATGCACAGTTGCGAATAGTTGCGATATATGATAAATTTACGAAAAAATGCTATGGTGTTCCACCAAAAGTTTTACGAAATCTGGAAAATTTCGCAAAACTTTGAAAGTTATGTATTATGCAGTTCGCATGCGCTCAATGACTGAAGTTTACAAAGCAAAATGGCATACGAGAACTTTGTTTAAACGGTACTGGATTTATTTTAATTACGAATTAAGCTAAACTTTTCACAGGCAAAACTTCTTTGGACGCCAATCTAATTTATTTTTTGCATGATTTATGTAGATACTTATTAATAAAACCAATTTGGGAAAATACATAATGTGTCCGTCTACAATCCAAGTGCAGCAGCGACATCGATTCGTCCATGACCTTAATGATAAAAAGTTTATTAGAACACCAATTCAGAAAATGATAATCTAAATAATATTTTAAAAATTGACTCGTGGTGCATGGTTCTCACCAAAAGCATTATTCGGGAAATCTCCAGCTCCCGGAAGTCCGCAGCCTCTGTCGGCCGTGGTGAGCTGGGGCGTGGCACCGCTAGTCGTAAGGGCGGCGTAAACCTCGTCGTAACCCCAGGTCGGGTTGGCCGAGAGGAGCAGGGCGATAGCTCCGGCCGTGTGCGGGCAAGCCTGGCATTAAAATATCGACATTTTGACCAAATTCGTTATATGGTTTATTTCAAAACATGTCCCTAAGAGATCAGACACATACATCAATCATGTCCCAAAACTCGAGATGTTTCAAAATTTCTCAAAATTAAGACTGTTTCTTTAGTATTTTGTGGAAAACAGGATGTTTGCGGTTCCTTGCTTCTCAAATTTTGGAATTTTCGTTATACCAGATAATACATATATACATATTTTTGTCTTTTTTGTAAAAAAAACTCAGAAATTGGTAAAAAATATTTCATCTTTTACAGATTAAAATTATGATTGGTTATCCGGTGTAATATCGTACTCAATAAAGTTTCATGTTTCATATTGAAGACTTATGGTCACAGTGAGGTTAACGCATAAGTTATGCATTAACCTCAAGAATGCTATGCGGCATAGCGTTCTCAATATTTAGTGGTAATAATATGCTAATCTCACCATTGAAGTTCCTGAATAGGTCACATAATTATCGGCACTCGTCCCACATGAGACGACTCTAGTTCCTGGCGCGGAAACATCCGGTTTCAAGAGCCCCGTGGAACTCGGGCCTCGTGAGGATGGATTCGACGGGGGAATGGCGACTGCATCTTGTTCATCCGTATTTCCCACGGCAATCAGATTCGGCTGATCGCCGGGTGAGCCTGCCGTTCGACAATTTGGACCAGAATTTCCAATTGCAAAAACCGGAATAATTCCCGCCGCGCGCCAAGCAGAAATTTGCGGATTAAAAAAAGTGCTTCCTCCCCTACCGCCCCAAGAATTTGAGACGATATGCGGTTTCGGGTTGGCCGTTAGCACGAATTCGGCGCAAGTCGTCATGGACGCCTCGCCTCCATCTCCTTGATGATTAAGTCCCCGGCAGGCAATCCATTTCGCCCCAGGAGCAACGCCGACGCCATTCGTGGTCCCGAGAACAGTTCCTGCGCAATGGGATCCGTGTCCATCGACGTCTGTGGGGCCTGGAGTGTTGTAGTGCGGGTCGGCCCAGGCACCTGGATATAGAGTTTCGATTGGTAAAAACGAAATTGGCAAAAGAAGTGGGAAAAGGCAATTTTACCACCCGTCCAAAATAGGCGGGTGTGAAATAGGAAAAATTGAGAAAATGAGGAAAATATTGCTTTCGGGAAACAACTTTGAAATAAACCTCTTAAAGCTTAAGACTTTCAAAATTTGATTATTTTGTAATCTTTATCATTCAAATTCTGGGAAAAATAAGTTGGTAATAATTTGTATCTTTTTAAGTATCTAATGTTTTCAATTGACATGAGTTCATATTTGGAGAAATTTGGAAAAACGATCAAAACTGTTCAAAAGTGAGCGTATTATACATAAAAATGTTCAGAAGTTCATGAAAATGACAACTATGAAGTCTAATTCCGGAAATATTGATTACTAAACAATGTGTTTAAAACAAGTTAGCTGTCCCCACGACTAAATAAATACATAGCCCGCCATATTTTCCCATTTTGGCCGGTAAAAACTTCTTTCCACCTGAAAAATAGTTGTGACTGGGGAAAATAAAACCCATATTTACCTGCATATCCCTCCTTAAGTGCGACATGATCAACGTTCACACCAGTGTCAATGATAGCGACGACGATGCCCTCTCCTCGCGTGCGGTTCCAGGCTTCGGGGGCCCTGATTTTGTTAACGCCCCATTGGTTAAGGCCCTGCCTGAGCGGGGCGGCTGGTCCGTGGCTGATCGTAGGAAATGCAGAAAAAGTGTGCTGTTTCCGAAGGGTAAAGTCCCCCGGGGTGGCTTCAAGAAGCGACAACTTTTCAGGGGTGAGACCCTTAACCAGAATTATGTTGGAGGACCAAAATTGTTTCGTTTCAAGGCCGAGGGAGTTAGCGACGGAGACGTAGGGCGCCTGCGCAGCGGATGTGAGTCCTTGAAGTGAAGCGACCAGTGCGGTCACCTTGGCGTCGCCGGAGAGCGAACGGAGCGCTGGGTTGGCCTCGACCTGCGCCATGATTTGGGGTAGCTGGAGAATCGCGGTTGTCTCGCCATTCTGCACGGCGGTGGCGAGGTTGATGTCGACCCGGCCGGCGAAAGCGAGCGCGATGGTGGCAGCGAGAAGGATGAACAGCTTCATGGTCGTGATGGCAGGTGAGGCTATTAATTCAAATTGATGATCAAAGTGCTGAGAGTTTTGGTCCTTTTATATGCGACCAGTCTATTCTATCATAATAAGTGAAGGGAATTTCCAGTTTTGATAAGGTAAAATTTACATAATTCGATAAAGTCCTTCAGCATTTCCAGTGGCGAGATGTGTTATGTTATTGCACAATGGGCAAATTTGTTATTTGCGGAAATCCAGTGTATGTATGTACTTATGTACATATGCACATGTACGTACATACATATGTATTTAGTTTGCAATACATAAATGTATAATATTTAGTTACATAACTTACTTCAAATTGAGATAAGCATGTCACCCCATTTTCTCACTATAAATATATATTGCTCAATCACTAGTCTTTATCTGTAAAATATTGTGTGGGTTAGTATTGATACATATGTGTCGAAATCCTTATTTCTATTGCATATACATATTAAACTTTCTGTGAGCATTGTATTTTCTGCAGAAAGCATTCGCATCGCGAAAATGCGCAGAAATTCATTTTCGACGTAAAGGAGAAAAGTCCACTCTATATCTCCATATTATTCAAATACATACACATGTGGGTGGTAACAGTGTTGCCGATGATTTCCAGATGAGATGGCCGCAAATACAGTATAATTAGTCTCCAAATCGTGGAAAATGGAGATTTTAAGCATGTTTGGACTGCCAGATAAATACTGGAAGCAATGATATAAATTCCCACGAAATGAAAAAATTGAAAATTTTTCAGCCACCTTGTTTTCAACTCATTTGTGGCTCTTGTACAATTTGGTCTCATATTAAAATTAAAATTTTAGTTCTATTTGAAACTTGCACAATTTCATCCAAAATTTAGCTGGGAGTCCAAAAATGCTTAAAAATTCAATTTTGCACACGTATTTAGGTGACTAGTTATACCGAATTGGAAGGCAACTCATCTTCAACTCATTTAGAACTCATCGGCAACACGAGTGGTGGTAACTACATATCATACATACCAACTTTTAGTATTAAATGGAAAGTCCTTATGTAGTACATGCATAGACCAGGACATTTATTGAAAACTTTCTTTCAAACCTGGCTTACAAATTCATTCGAAGCAGTGGCCAAATATTGGTCGAAAACTATTGAAGGAATTATTTTCAGTGATATTTGACCAAATTAAGACAACTTTAATTAGCTAAAGTTATTAAGCACAATGTCGTGAGGAGATTCAGAATGCCAATTCGTGTCAATGCTCAATTTGCGAATGTATGTAAGTGTACTCTGAATGAGTGCACTTTAAACAGCAAAATACCGTATGAAAACTTTATGCAAAAGGTTCAGTACGGGCGACGAGATTTAGTGTAGTTACGAACATTAAAAAATTGAGTTTGGTTTGGATAGATGCCGATAGGATTTATTTTTTTGATGATTCACATACTTATAAAACGAATTTGGAAAGAGATGTGTGTATAATCGGACTGTCTACAGTCCAAGTGCGGCAGCAACATCGATTCGCCCGTAACCTAAATGATAAAAATTTAATTAGAAAACAAATTTTACGAATGGTAATCTAATATTTTAAAAATTGACTCATTCTCACCAAAAGCGTTGTTCGGGAAGTCGTCAGCCGTCGGAAGTCCGCAGCCTCTATCGGCCGTGGTGAGCTGGGGCGTGGCTGGGGTCGTCGTAAGGGCGGCGTAAACCTCGTCGTAACCCCAGGTCGGGTTGGCCGAGAGGAGCAGGGCGATAGCTCCGGCCACGTGGGGGCAAGCCTGGCATTAAAATATGAACCACGTTAACCTCATTTTGACCAAATTCGGTATATGACGTATTTCTAAATATTTCCCTACTTAGGAGACCAGATACGTCAATCACGTACCAAAAACTCGAGATTTTTCAAAATTTCTCAAAATTATCTAAGAGGGTTCCTTTAGTATTTTGTGGAAAAGATCATGTTTATGGTACTCTGTCAAATTTTGGAATTGTCGTTATACTAGACAGTATAACGACAATTCAAAAGTCCATTTTTGTCTTTTTCCTAACAAAACTTCGAAATTGGTAAAAAATATTTCATCCTTTACAGATTAAAATTGTAATTGGTTGCTATTTATCAGGTGTGGTTATGTATGAAATCCATATCGTACTCAAGGAAGTTTTATCTTGAAGAATTATGGTCACAGCGAGGTTAACACATACTATTCTCAATAAATAAGTGGTAATAATATGTATCTATGTAAATCTCACCATCGAAGTTCCTGAACTGGTCACATAATTATCGGCACCCAACCCACATGAGACGACTCTAGTTCCTGGCGCCGAAACTTCCGGCTTCAAGAGCCCCGTGGAACTCGGGCCTCGCGAGGATGGATTCGCCGGAGGAATGGCGACCGCATCTTGGTCGTCCGTATTTCCCACGGAAATCAGATTCGGCTGATCCCCAGGTGAGCCTGCCGTTCGACAATTTGGACCAGAATTTCCAATTGCAAAAACGGGAATAATTCCCGCCGCGCGCCAAGCAGAAACTTGCGTATTGAACCAAGGTCTTCCTCCCCCACTGCCCCAAGAATTCGAAACAATATGCGGTCTCGGGTTGGCCGTTAGCATGAATTGGGCACAAGTAGTGAGAGCTGCCTCAGTCCCTCCGAAAGTATTAAGGCCTCGGCAGGCAATCCATTTCGCGGCTGGGGCGACACCAACGCCATTCGCGGTCCCGAGAACAGTCCCAGCGCAATGGGACCCGTGTCCCTGGACGTCCGTTGGCCCCGGGGTGTTGAGGTAAGGGTCTGCCCAGGCACCTGGGGATAGGGTTTCAATTTGTAAAACCAAGTTCAAAAGGGCAACGGGAAAAAGCAATTTTAACAGCCGCCAAAAATATGTAGGTGGGATCGTGGAAAAATACTGGTTTGGGGCAGTCCGAAGCAACTTCTTTAAACCTAAGATTTTCCTAATTCGTAATCATGTGGGAACATAGCGACAGCAATCAAAATTGATAAAAACTGTCCGCATTACTATCTAAATGTTCAGAAGTTCAGGGAGCATATGAAGTGTAGTTCCGAACATATTTATTATTAAAAAAGGTGGCTCACCGCATAACTAAATAAGGATCTACATTATCCCGCCATATTTTCCCATTTTTCCCACTTTTTCCCATCCCAAATAGTTTTGACCAGGAAAAACGAAACCCTATTTACCTGCATATCCCGCCGTGAGCGCGACATGATCAACGTTCACACCAGTGTCTATGATAGCGACAATGATGCCCTCTCCTCGCGTGATGTTCCAGGCTTCGGGGGCCCTTATTTTGTTAACGCCCCATTGGTTAAGGCCCTGCCTGAGCGGGGCGGCCGGTCCGTGGTTGATCGTTGGGAATAGGGACACAGTGTTTTGTTTCCGAAGGGTAAAGTCACCCGGGGTGACTTCAAGAAGGGCCAGCTTTTCAGGGGTGAGACCCTCGACCAAAATTATGTTGGAAGACCAAAATTGTTTCGTTTCAAGGCCGAGGGAGCTTGCGACGGCGACGTAGGGCGCTTGCGCAGCAGAGGTGAGTCCTTCAAGGGAGGCGACAAGCGCGGTCACCTTGGCGTCGCCGGAGAGCGAACGGAGCGCTGGGTTGGCCTCGACTTGCGCCATGATTTGGGGCAGCTCGAGAATCGCGGTTGTCTCGCCATTCTGCACGGCGGTGGCGAGGTTGATGTCGACCCGACCGGCGAAAGCGAGCGCGATGGTGGCAGCGAGAAGGATGAACAGCTTCATGGTCGTGTTGGGAGGTGGACTAATAATTCAGGAAAGTGATGATCCAATTGTTCAGAGTTGTGGTCCTTTTATATGCGACCAGTCTATCTGTTTTAAGTATGAGCAAAAGGAATTTTCCGTTCTGATAAAGTAAAATTTACATAATTCGGGAAAGCCCTTCAGCATTTTCCGGAGTTCCCGTAAGTCAGTGGGTGAAGGTGGTTAGATAAGCGGATTGCAGTCTTTTGGGGCGATTTCTCATGGTTCAATATTTATACAACATGCAGAAGAGGTAGAAGCTTGCTAATTCATTTGATATGTTTAGAATTTCCCAAGATTTGGGAGGACGTACATGTATGGGTATATTAATACACTGATAATTTACAGGACAAGGCTAATCCATTGGGGAAATATGCTTGGTTATCGCACAATGGGCAAATTTGTTATTTACGGAAATCCAATGTAGATATGCGTAGTTTGGTATAAACTATAATGGTTATAAAACCTATTACAAAGATAAGTACTTCACCCGTTTTCCAGCTATATTCAGCTGAATTACTCATATTTATGTTTATTGGATTATGTGGGTTGATACATATGTATAATTGAAATCCAGATATTTTCATGCATGAATTAACTTGACTTTGTGCATTTTATTGTTTTACGGAAAGCATTTGCATGACGAGGGTTGTCATAGCTTCATTGGCGACGTAAGGGAAAAAAATCCGAGCATGGTAAAGTAAGCGACAAGACCTCGTAGAATACAAACATACACGTTGACACGAATTTATTCAATAGAGAATGCATAAATTATTCATTCAGTATGCAGTAAATCCTTGTACAATGAGTGGTCAATTTTTTCAAAAGTTTTAAATTGATGCACATTAAGCAAATATTTATTCATTTCATACTCATGACGAATGACTGAATTATTTGATTCATTGTTGATTTTTTAATCTATCAGTATGCTTAATACATGGAGTACCTATATCGAGAACTACATCAAGCAAATTTGAGATAAAATGAGTAAAGAAAATTAACAATGAACAAATATTTATTTTAAAATTTTTAATAAAGGACTGGATGATTAATTTTTTCCAATTTTTAATTGAACGAATTTTGAATGAGAAAATATTTTTGAACAGGTATGGGTACAATGTTTTTAGTCAACTTAGCACTTAACCTTATCCTCAAAATTGCACCTTAGCCAATACTTATCAAACAAAAGGTTGTTAGGACATTGATTCACCGTTGTTACACCTTCGTCACAAGTTATGAATTTCGAACAATCTCCAACCTTGGGATATATCCCTCTAATCTTTTCAACACAATTAGCACTACAATCCACCAATTCTTGCTCTTTGCAAATCAAATCGATCGGGTCAAACATTTCACCGCTTGCGCAATTAACCTCAAATATCTCTTCCGACAGGCAGACCACGTACTGACTGCAGTTATTCGGATGTGGATAAATTCTGCCATCTTCTCCAGAACAATTCACCTGAAAGGGGACTTCCTTCCGGGGTAGGTCGATGTGCCAAATTTCGTTCTTAAATCCGGTTAATAACGGTGTGTTTACCAACCCTCCGAAAAGATAGATGCGATTTAGTTTGTTTACGTAAACCCCACCCATCCCGGTGTAATAGTAGGTAGCATTACCTGACAAAAAAATAAATAAATTTTTGTCTTATTAGGGGTATTTAGAATATTTTAAGCATATGTAGGTACATATATCGGGGAAACCATTAATTTGACGAATTCTGCATTTAGTTTACCATGATCATTTCAATTGCGGATATTCATTGCGAGTTGGGAAGGTCGAAAAACATTTTGGAAAATTTTAGAAAATTCATTTCCGAACTTGGGCATCTCCAAGAATAGTATTTAGTTTGCAATTTTCATAATTGTGTCCGCATGAACATGCGCATGTTCATGCGATCTGGTAATGAATACTCCCAATATTTCTGCATTCATTTTTGACGTCGTTAAAAAGTGTACAAAATCCCAAAGTATTAGTAAGTTTTAATAAGTCGTTTCAGATTAGTGAGCACCCAATTTCGTAAATTTTAATCTATATTTCTGTGGCGACGAAATACCAGTAAAGATTTAAGCACCCCCTACGTATATTCTTACCAGGATACATTTTAACTTCGATAAAATGAATATCCGACAGCCTTTCCAGATCATATTTTATTATAAAATTTCCAGGGTACTGCTGCCCTCCAATTATGTACATGGTGGAGTCCTCGTCCCAAATTAATCTCGGAGTTTCTGGCAGATATGGAAATGTTTTTTCCACAATCGCAGTTCCATCCGATAGATTGTCTCGCAACATTGCTGTCCGAGTTGGGTTATGATTTGAAGTGCACAATAGCCACAAGTCATCCTTATACCTATGTACACAGAAATACAATATTCAAAGTTGCATCTTATTTTAATGACTATTTTTTTAATCATTCAACAAACAGTATTTTGTTTTAATGATTTTTTTTGGTTTGCTAAGATTGTAATTTTTATCTTTATTGGTTCTAATAAAAATGCATACGACAGTTGTACTAAAATGTAAAAAACGGAAGCACTAATATAATTTAAAGAAAACAAGTTAAAACAAGCTCATTAGGGAACATTCACATATTACTTCATCAAAAAGATGTGTAGGTGGTTTTTGGGATCGCCTATCTTACTCGTCTTAAACTTAACCTGAGTATGATATGGAAGGTGTGGGCGGTGTCAAAATTGGTATTTTTATGACGTAATATATGTACGTATTTCTCTTAGCGTATGTATTTCATTAATGATATCTATCGAACACTCGTACACTCTAAATAAAAATGTGCACAAGTTACTTAAGACTGAATAAAATAGAGGATGACGAAACAATTTTGTAAAATTTGCCCCAATTTGATCACCTATTTTACTCAACCTTAAGTCAATTTTTCACATTTTTATTTAGAGTGTCCAAATAAATATTTCCTTTACCTAATCCCATCCACGCGTGTACAGTTATGCCCCAACTCTCCAACAATTGTGGATTCATAACTCTCCAAATCAAACTTAACGATTGACGAGTGATCCAGAAATGTATTCCCGAATAAAAGCACCGCGCTGTTATTGACCTTGACTGCATTATTCATTTCTAACGGTAATTCCCCAATATTCGTTACTTGTGTCGTATTGGGATTAAATTTATACACAATCCGGCTCCTTGCTGATCGGGTGGCTCCATTAAAATGGTAAATATCCCTATAGCATCCGTTATCGTGGTGCCCCCGTATAACCCTGTGGGAAGTCTTGCCGCCAAAGTTAAACTTTCTGCGGAAATGTTATACTTATAAATTTGATCGTAGTAATTGAAACACCCGCCGCATGGGTAGTCGTAGAAATACCCGCCAAATAAGTAAATCGAATCTGTCCCGTCGAAAGATGCTGCAGGACCGCGGCGTCTATTTGGAAATCGAGCCGGCGATAATTCGGCGACCAGGCCATCGTTTGAATTCCCCAGACACATTGGGACAAGGTCGATAAATGTGAGAATGAAGGCGACAAAAAAATAATTCAGGGACATTTTTGCCGCGAAAATTTAATACTTTAAATTGATCAGTAATTACTATTAATTGTACTAATTTATCAATGGCCAACCACGCACTGATGATCTTCATTCACAAGTAAGCATTATTTAAGTACGAGCGTATCCGCTGCTTAAAAGCGTTAAGGCGCCGTCCATAAATTACGTAACGCTTGCTAGCATGGGCAAGATAGGATTTTTTCCCTATCCTGCTCATGTCAGCCAGCGTTACGTAATTTATGGACGGCGCCTAATTGAAATTTAATCTGAAACATCGATAAGAACAAATTTGTAAAGCATGTTCATCATTACGACATGCGAAACACCTCAGATGTTTTGTCAGGTATAAATATGATTCATAGATAAATCAGGTTGAATCAAAATTAACTTCAGTCTTGATTTGTTGTGTGCAAACTTATTTGTTGATTTGCCATACGAAACGTATGAACCGATTAATGAAACATTATTATTCCATTAAAATGCTAATGTACATCATTATCATCTGTGTACTTATTTACGGTGTGGTAACAGTATTTCCCAATTATGTCACTCATTACTTGAACAAACTTATCAATCGATTGAGAAGCAACTTTTAAATTGAATAACGATGACAAAGCTTAAGAGAGAAACAACAGGATATGTACATACTTATGTAGAGGATAAATGCCAGTTTTGTCGAGAATTTGTAGTATATTTACATAACTCACAGCTTTTATGCATTACATATATACGATCCAATCGAAAAGGCACTTTATTAAGAACAATTATCTAATTACCTATGTCAAGTTATATGTGAGTGGTTAATTGATTTCTTCATTGGACAAAATCATCCAAAATATTTGTTAAAATAGACATACATACATACATACATACATACATACATACATACATATACAATGAGATCTTGTTTTTTCATGATCGAACTATTTTGATTTCAACTTTAAATATATCCTCGAGATACATAAACGAAAATTGAGATTGACCAAGGTATGAAAAAGGTATTTAATGTAATACTTCCATTTAATTTTTTTGTAAAAAATATATAACAAGAGAATAAATGCTACATTCCATTAAATAATAATTAATGCAAAACATGTCTTCGGGCTACATATACATGTTTTGGTGGTTCATAAAAATTTGTATAAAATTTAAATTACAAAACATTTTCACCTTTTCAGGAACAATGTATTTATTTTATAAATACAATAGTCGTGCACATTTTCATGCTTGTGAGGATATAAGGTGCAGCTTCAACAAGTGTGCAGCTTCATCGTTGCCCATATCAGTGTCTAAAATGTTTCTTTACAAATCAAAGTGATTAAAGTTGAGATGGTTTGAAGAATTAATATAATAAGGCATTCAGTAAGTAGTTGTATAAGTAGTTATATTCACTATAACAAAACAAAAAAATACACAATTGCATTTTTCTGGAAATACGGAGAAGTAAGAGTCAGAAATATTAATAAAATAATATACATTAGAATTAAATACTTGCTTGGTTTTTGAAGATATATAATTTATTAGTCCGAATTTTGAAAATTCACTTGTAAAGAAGCATTTCGACAAATCAAAAATAATGAGAAAATATAAAAATTAAAAATAGTAATAAGCGTTAATACATATATATTGACATTTATTTCTGCAGAATTGCAGGCAAATTATTCTCAATTCAATTTATTTTTATTATTCTTCATCACCATGTTCATGCTACTGGCACTACTACTACTTATGACATCATGTGGTGATGTGGTGATGATGTGGTGACTAAATTGAAAGCACCGAGCTTGACTGCTGCTGTAATTCGCATTCATGGAGGTGTAATAGTATCACTTAATTAGCTGCATGACCAACAGAAGGATTACCTCGATAGCTGGAGCTTCTATCCCTATATGCATACTAAAATTGCTAAAGACCTACATCTACCTCGTAATTAAATATTAGTAGAAGGGATTCACCTGAACAAAATCGAAAAAATCTTGCGTTTCTATCCAGAGAACTAAAACCTGGGAATTTTACTTTAATTGTGATTTTAATTTCATAGGATCATTTACATATTTAAATGCTGGATTTCTTATATATGAAGACATGTGTGTTTTTATAGGCTTTAAAAATGTTTCGGACACGTTGTAAAATATATGTTATCAAAATATTTTAAGGAAACAAGTAATGTATAATGTAATTGGAGTCGTTGCGTAGGTATTTGAAAGATTTAAGTGAATGGACAATTGATTTAATGAATCCTCATATTAATTATAAATATATACCCTACTTTCGTATATCAGTTGCACCCCAATTCTACCATCAAGTAGGGCAAAATTACAATTCATACATAATTGCATTTTGTACATGTTCTGCTAATCCTTCGTGTAATAGCTTAGGAGGAAACGGATTCCCAGCATGTCCTACCTGTTGTTGATTCGCAGTTGAATTATCTATCAGGAGCAGCTACTAGGACTTGAAACTGTGAAATTAAATAATACCTAAAAGTTTAAGAGCACAAGAGCATAATAGTATATAATTGTATATAAGAGTTGAATTTATTTACCTTTATTTTACGCAAAACATTAATCTCGTAAACTAATTTATGTATTTCCCATCACGTAGAAAACTAAAATCTTGAACCGACCTGAATTTCTCCAAATTTTCGCGAAAGTTGTCACTTGCACTTGTCTGCTTTTTTCTCGTTCTCCGCCGGGATAAGAAGGACAGGTAGCAGGTGTCGGTCTTGTTCAACGACAGTTGACCAATCTGCACACTGAACTCGAGAGGTTTCCACCAAGTGGGGGAGTCGTTTTTTTCCAGCTGAGGATCTAAAATCAAAAGAAATAATACAAAATACAACATCCCATTTTTGTAGATGGGAAACCTCGCTCGTTGTGAATATTACAGAGCGTTTTCTACTGTTGAATGTTTAAACTTCATCACAATTAATATTTAAGAAAAATAAATGGCAAGTTACTTTAGTAACCCGTTCTCCTAAGATAACTAAATTGTGGTCACTTCCAATCAGTGGCAGGGAGTTGACCATTGTAGGTTGGCCATTTTGTGTGTGGCAAATATTTGAAAAGTAAAAAAGAAACTTAATTAACACGCTGTTTGGGAAAGTAACTTGGACGGTGCTAAGCATTTTTGACGAATATTTCATGAAATTTATAAAGGTTTTTAATGAACACAGCGATCGTTTAGTCCAGAAAATGGTATGTAAGTACATGTGTACATGTGTTAAGACATGTGCATACAGAATTGGCAAGGACCGGATTTTTTTACCGATGTCAATAAACTGGACATGGGAAACCACTCACAACGAACTGGATAGGATGAAAAGTTTTATAAGATATGTCAAATATTTTATTTTGTGGAAACTTTGCTGAAGACAAAGCGTGCGAATTACAGGACAGTTATGAACTACGTACTTTACATTTATGTATGTATGTATATATATAATTGTTCACTCAATGTGCGCTTAATTATTAGAAATATGAAAATCATAACCATTTCTATTAAAGTCTATCGTAACTATTTTTACTAAGAATACAATTAATTAATAGAAATTTCATGAAGTACAAAATCTAGAAATCTAGGGAGCCTGTTGAATCGAATATGGTCCAGATATCAAAACCACCTCCAAAGCATTGATCGTTTCGAACAGCTATATGCACACTCTTCCATACGGGGTATTACCACACGCAAACCCCTCACAGCATTCATGACGTCTCTCACATTCTTCATACTTTTTCTTGCAAAAGCTTCGTCCCTATAAATGCAGATAACACCATAATTTAAGATTATGCATGTACCATTCACTCTTAAAAATAATGCTACCCTTTTAATAAGTTAACAAACTCCTCAATTCTATGTATACGAAATAACTTATACTAAATAAATCCAGATTAACGTTAACTTAATAAAGAGTAACGTTTACTCTAGATTTATTTAGTATAGTTTACGCATTAAATTTTTAAAACGGTGACCTTATTTTTAAAATTGTACTCTATTAATACACAATTTAATAGAAAAATCCGTTATTTACGCCTGTCCAGAGGTAGTCACCATAACTGCCAAGGAATTCCCGATGTAAGGTGTGGAGGCCGTCGACAACGTGTATCACGAGCATGATCAGGATGACCAGGCTTACTTGGGATGATGTCATCTCGTCCTATTTTTTGATCTAATTATAATATTATGCATAATTTCAAAAAAGAATGTATCAAAAAAAGAATCAATATTTTGTGTTACGTAAATATTTGTGTTGAAGACGGGGCTCAGTTCATGTGTGAGGAATGAACTCGATAGAGGAGGGAATTTAAATTATGAACAATGCATACGCAGGTATGAATTGACCTTTGCGTTGAAGGTTTGTTTACATTTTATTACAATTTGTTCGCATCACATTATGTAATACATTAATTTCTACTGTAACCCTTGTTATTTTCCCAAAGTTCGTAATGTTAGCCTGATTAAATTGAAAATTTGCGAATGTTTACCTAAATAAATGCATGATCAAGATATTCATTTATTTAGTGCAAAACAAATTTTTAACTATTTACTCAAGTTTGAGACAACCTAATATATAAATATGTATAGTATGTATGTAGGTGGCATCTATATTTCGTCTGCTTGTTAGTAAGGGACGAACCCCTTTAAAAGTTCGATAAGGCAGTCCGTCTGCCTGTCTGTTCATCCGTACGATAACTCACAATATAATCCCAAATATTGTATCTACTAATTTCAAAAAATTCCCCGAAAATCATTTGAAGTTTTCTAGAAACATACATTTCAAAATATGTCGTTTGTTCTGTCAGTGACTTGTGCCGTTAAGTGTGGACATGCGTACACATAAATATGTATTTACATACATATATACATACATACTTACCTACATATATTCATATATATTACAAACACAATTTTAATAAAATAATATTTCTTTCTGGACAACTATTCAATTACGAATTTATCTACTATGTGAATTATAAGTATATCAAATACTCATCAGTCATATCTATATGTACCTCATACTTACACACATCATCAAACACGAAGTTAAACACGAAGTCACTCTCATGAAAATCATCAAGTGGCTACCCATCTCTGGTCACGCTTTCACTCCGAATCTGCGATCAATGCAGCATGTATGTATCATACCCATTTCCGAATACCCGTTTTCCCGAGTCATAGATGTGCAAAAAAGAAGAAACGGAGAAGCATGTGATAACATTGTAAGCTTTACATGGACTCATCATCTGCTTTTCATCCTTTCCCAATATAAATATTATTGGTTTAAACAAATTCGCAACATTCCTGACTAAAATAGAATTCCTGTCTTCCCCTTCATTATGTAATTACACTAATTACATACTAAATATAATTTACTAAATCTCTTCGAGTTGTGTCAATACCTCGGTGTTACATTACGATAACACACATACATATGTATATAGATAACTTCAAACACACATACATAAAACATACATACATACATAAAACGCTCATTTTAAAGTATCATGACTTAAAAATTGTTGCAAAAATTTCGCAATGTTTTCCTGCCTACCAGCACGAGAGACAGCTCCGGACCTTCATATCGAGTGCGCCGACCCAGTCAAAATTTATAAACCTGGCGAAACAATTACTTGTGCAGTTGTGCTGACAAATAGAAACAAATTTATCGACTTCAAAAGTAAGGTTTGAATTATTTTTTTTAAAGACGAAGTATTTGCATTCTTTTGTAATCTATTTTTATATAACACTTAAGCAAAACACATTTGTAAATACTCATTAAGAATTTGCATTGATAGCAGAAAATCAAAGTTCGCAAAAAAGGCTTAAAAATTCATTTCTAAACTTTAGCATTTCCAAAGATTAAAATTCTCCGCAATTTTTAACGATACGAACTCGTAATAATGAATGCATTCATTAAGCCATGACACATGCAAATTGGTACATATTTATTTAATAGAAAAAAATTGGAAATTATTACTATTTCAGACATTAAAATTCGAATGCATGGAAAAGCAAAAACCTGTTGGAGTCAAGGTCGTCATTCGAATTCTGAAACAGAATCTTATCTCGAAGAGGAAGTATTTCTCCTCGGAAACGGTACGCAATATTTTTTCTATGCGAAGCATTTGCTTGTCTACACTCTTAGAAATCCAGTATTTACATAATACCAAGCGGTGTTCATACACATAGGACTCCTAAATTATCAAAACATTATTGCACCATAATCCCCATTATTACCGTGCCGGTAGAGTCCGATGCATATGTCGGTACCCCGGCCTGTAATAATTTAATACCAGTTTTCTAAGAGTGTATGTATGTATCCATCCAAATATAAATAATAAAGAGTTAAATTATTTTCTCTCCATTTAAGACATTCACACAATCACGCAACCCTCCGGAATATTTCGATACCCTTTCTCATACACATTACCCCTCGGAATTCCATCTTCCTGTTACGAGCAAGACCTTGGCAGTATTTCATACCAGGTGAAAGCCATCATGACGAGATCACTTTGCGCAAGCAATCCCGAAGCCAAAAAATATTTTCTGGTTGACGGTTCCCTTACGAATCTTCCCTACGAGATGAGCTTTCCTGTCCAATTGGAAAAAGTAAAGCGTGTCACCAACTTCTTGCGGTGTGGCATAGACGAGATATTTTTCCTCCTGGAAATAAATCGGAGCGGAATTGTTCCCGGGGATTCCATAAATTTCCAACTGACCATAGAAAATAATTCGAGATTGGAATTACGTCAAAATCTTAAACTGATTCAAATCATGAAATTTTACGCGAACGGATTGTCGAAACGGGAAGATACGGAAATTTTAGAGATGAAGGGACACAGAATTCCACGAGGAGAAAGTCAAGCGTGGAATGGTTCACTGCAGATTCCAAGAAATGCGCTGTTAACGGGATTCGAGAGAAGTAACCTTATCAATGTCCGCCATATGTTGAAGGTATCGTGAGACTTGTTACTTTATGGAGAAGTTATAAATATACATGCCTTAAGTATGTACCTAATTAAATTTACTTAATGCAGGCCGAAATCAAGGCACCATTCCTGTGCGGAAACGTCAGCTCGACGCTTGAGATACCCTTGACCATTGGAAGTTCTAGTGGAAAATATGTGCGCGGTTCAGCCTATGAATAATTTTTTTATGTGGCTATGTACCGAGCTGGCCTGATGTTGGGTGAAAATATCAAAATATCCGGGCCAAAATCTCGCCCCCCCCCCCAATACCCAACCCTCCAAATATCCATGAATCCATTGATGTTCTAGATATGTACGCATTAAAATATTACACTCCAATATCCAAATATTCGTATCCAACAGATATGTAGTTGTGCCCTCCAAAATCCAAATATCCATATTTATAACAAAATCTCGCCCCCAATATCTGTCGAGCTCTTTATATTTATCTAGCCGTGAAGCTGAAGGGAAGACTGGGAAAAATTAACCATCTGCCTACAAAGGTTACGAACATTGACGTCTTGCATGCAGATATTCTGCGATCAAATATGGAAGTCAACCTACAATTAGGTTGGCTAAAATTGCCAGAAAATTACAAATATATTTACACATGTATGTACAACTATTTATGTATATAGATACATAACGAACTTTACAAATTGCCTACCTGCATGTGCAAAAAATATAAATATTATTTAAATATTGCGTCACTTTGACAACTTTTCTCCATTTGCCATTTTGTATTTACTTTGTATCTTGCAAATACATAAAATAAAATATATTCTTTGTGAAATAAAGTTAATTTTAACAAAATATGCATTTATTTTTTTCAGAAAACTGTTCAATTGTTTACAAGCTTCTTAGGCGAATTGCATATTTAATACAAAAAATTCGAAGTCCGCGATATTTGTATATATGTGTACATAGTAGGATGTAACTATAGTTACAAAATACCGGAGCAAATATCGGATAGTATGGCCACTTTCATGGGAAGAAAGCATCTATTTAATGCTTACCCATCTCTGGTCACGCTTTTACTCCGAATCTGCGATCGATACAACGTCACATCCGTTTCCGGATACCCGTGTCCCGGAATTCGGATGAGCAAAAAAGGAGAAACGGAGAAGCATGTGATAACAATATTACTCACTTTGCTTTAACTTTACAACGTACCATCTGCTTTTCAGCCTAAATACCCCACATGTTAGTGTTTCACAGGAATTCGCAACGTCTCTCACCCAATAACACATTTAAATCTTGCCTTAAATTAAATTACATAATTCCTGACAAAACATAATTTTATAGACTCTTTCTGGTTTATGTACATTAAATCCATCTTCATTATATGCATACATACATACAACTTTAAATAAAATTTTCATTTTAAAGAATCGTAACCTGAAAATTATTTTTTAAAATTTCACAATGTTTTCCTGCCTGCCAATATCAGAAACAACCCCCGATCTTAGCATCGAGTGGGACGACCCAATAAAAATCTATAAGCCTGGTGAAACAATTAATTGCACAGTTGTGATGACAAACAAAAACAAGTTTATCGAGTTCAAAAGTAAGGTTTGGATTATTTTTAAAAATTCAATACTTATTCATGTGTTTGCATTTTTAGTGTGTAATAAATTTTATTGCGATAAATATTTTGGGGGTATTCCCTACGAGTTTACATCTTTAGTAAAGTTAGCAAAAAACAAGGAGGGTATTCATTATTTTTTCGTATCCTTAGTATGCTTTTTATCGTGAAATAAGTTTACGACACGGTTACGTGATTTTGTAAGCGCTGTAAGATTTTGTCATCGAAAATGGCGTTACAAAGGTTACGAGTTTTACGAAGTTTGACTCCCTGTTTTCCCTTCGTACATTATTTTGCGACACTGTGGACACAAAGAAATAGTGAGTACCCTCAACGTTCACAAGTTCATTTGTTATGTGAACTGGTAATGAATATCCTAATTTAATAATGTTACAAATTGATATGTATTACATATCAATGCATACATTATTACATTATTATTAATATATTATTACGTATATATCATATTATGTATCATACGTATATAAAAATGTACACATCTTACCGGCAAAATTTGGAAATCTTTTCAGATCTTAAGGTCCGAATTTATGGAAAAGGCAAAACCAGTTGGCATCAAGGTCGGGTCATGTATTCCGAAAAAGAAACTTATTTCCTACAGGAAATATTTCTCGTCGGCAACGGTACGTAATTTTATACAAATTATTCCATGAAAAAATTTGTCAACACTCTTAGAAATCCAGTATTAAAATAATATCAAGCGGCATTCATATATTTAACTCTATCAAGGTAATAACGTGTAGCTCCGCATTAAGGGTTTACTCTTTCAGTAAAAAAAATTACGGATCGGTATAATTGTAATGCCACGCGGTAGCAACTTTAACCCCGAGAAATCAATTCCTGCTTGACTATACTAGATTTCTAAGAGTGTGACAAGTATTAAAAAATATGAAACTAATTTTCGCACGATTTCAGACACCGACACAATCAGTCAACCCTTCGGAATATTTCGGTATCATTTCTCATACACGTTACCCGTCGGAATTCCAACTTCCTGCTATCACGAATATGGCAGCATTTCATACCACGTGAAAGCCATCATGACGAGATCAATTTGCACGTGTAATCCCAAAATCAAAAAGCCTTTTCTAGTCAATGGTTCCACTACGTATCTTCCCAACGAAGTGAGCATTCCTGCACACGTGCAAAAAATAAAACATTTCCCCAGCTTCTTGAGATGTGGCATGGACAAGATATTTTTCCTCCTGGAAACAAATTTTAGCGGAATGGTTCCCGGAGATTTCATAAATTTCCAACTTACCGTCGAAAACAATTCCGTGTTCGAATTACACCAAAATGTCACGTTGGTACAAATCATGAAATTTAAAGCGAATGGGTCCTCAAGACGGGAACATTCAGAAGTTATGAAGATGAAGGGGGATATAATCCCACAACGAGAAAAGCAAGTGTGGACCGGTTCGCTGCAAATTCCGAGAAAGGTCTTGTTAACGGGACTGGATGGAAGTAAGCTTATCAATGTCCGTCATGTGTTAAAGGTATGAAAAAAGTTTATAGATGCATACTTTTTGGGGGAAGTTGTTTCTAATGGAGGAAAGGGGCTGCCCATAAATTACGTAAAGCAAGAAGGGGGGAGGAGTGGCATAAGGCTCCAATAATATCGTGTCTATGTTACACATGTTATAAGGAAAGGGGGTTTAGAAAATCGCGATTTTTGCGTTACGTAATTTATGGACGGCCACCAATTCACAAGTGCCTTGGTGGCATCGTAAAATCCCTAATTTTTTTTAAACTTCAACACTTTTACGAAATTATACAAATATTTGTCACGAAAATTTTCTTGCTAATTTTTGTAAACTTGTTAGCAATCACAGTAACTTTAATCACAACCAAACTTGTAAGATCATGGGGGTGTTTGTTTTTTAAAGTTTGTAAAATTATTTTACGAAACGTTTACTAGATTTTACAAAGTCACCAAAGACCCCGTTATTTACAGTTTTAGTGATTATTTCCTGATTAATAATACTTATTTATTTATTGCAGGCCCAAATCAAAGCACCATTCCTGTGTGCATATTTCAGCTCGAGTCTTGAGTTACCATTGACTATTGGGAGTCCTAATGGCAAACAGGCGAAATAATTCAGCCTATTCATAATTTGTTATGTCTGTAGCTGTGAACCTGACATGAAAACTGGAAAAAATTAATTCTTTGCCTACAAATGTTTTAAAGTTGCCAGAATGTTAACGTTTTACATATGTATAAACCTGTTGAAATTCTGTAAAATCAAATGAAGCTCTTTTAAAATTTGATTAAAAGATAAGATTAAGAGAATATTATAAGCTAGCATAGGTAGCTACGTGTGTACAACTATTTGTGCATGTATGTAACTATAGCTTTAGTATAACGGCTTGGCTGTGTGTGCAAAATATTCAAATATTACAGATATTTTTAAAATACTGGATTTGTGCCGGAAATATTATAGCTTGAAAAACGAAGTACAATGTGACGTACAATCTGTAACGTATGTAGATATGTATGTAATATTCAATAAATGTTGGCCTTGCTTCATATATACAAATGTGTACAAAGAAACATAAGAAGTTAATTGGATTTACGAGGTGGCAAGATTCTCCCCATACAGTATTATATATACGTGGACTGCACTCATAAATACTACGCAGATTTATGGTTGTTGCAAAAATCAATAACTCCTCTCGCTTTCTCCCATCATGATCTGATTACATTCTGGGCTGGACTAGATAATCTTCTCAACTTACATGAACGCCTTGACCCTTAGTCACGTATCAAGCAGATAATGCAAATGACAAAAGTTTTTGTTTCTAAAAAAATCTCTACATAAACTTCGTAAATTTAAGTAGACTTTAAATTTAATTAACGTGAATACGTATATACCTCCCAACAGGTTATGTACTGTTGTCATCCCCATAAAATTTTTAGTCCATTCCACAATTTAATACTTAAATTCAATCCGATTCGTCTCCACTTCTGGCAAACCGATCAACATGTTAATCGTATTATCCAATATACTTTGCAGAAAATAGGTTTTGATCGATTTATCCAGCATGAAAAATGTGAATCCATTAAATCCAGCAATGAACCGGATTGGACGTAAAGCTCGAAATTGTCTTCGTAATATTTTCCACGTGTCGAACTATGACCATTTCCGAGCAACTGAGCCGCCCACTTTGCCAATGCTTTCATCGAATTTTCATGCATGCTTGCCACCACGGGTAAAAGTAGGTGTGAAATCCCGAGGCAGGTAAATGCGAAAAATGGAAACATGAAGTATAATCCGAACGGGACAGTGTTGTATAATCGTAGAGTTGCAAAGATGGATGCAGCCGACAACCAGGTTCCGCATTCGTACAGTTCAAATGTAAGGGTCGCCTCAACTCCGTGAAATGAAACTTCGATGACTTTCATTCGAACGTATTGGGCATAAATATTTTGGATGTGTTCGAGTTGGTATTTGTACACGTCCAAGTTTGCCGCCATTCCAAATATTGTCACAAATATGGGAACGAACGGAAGTGGCAAGAGCATACGTAACGATGCCGAAAGTGTCAAGTTCCCCCGTATTAGTCCTCCATATTGGTTGAGATGATGGTTTACCCATATCTAAGAGATTAAAAAAAATATTGTTTAAGTGTCGCAATTAACCTAAACAGAAGCGGGAATGTTTACATTATTTCAGCGGGTAGTTTTCGTGGTTAATAAGTTGAGTAAGTTGGGTCTGTTCTGCCATAAATTTTGGTCTCGCGTACCTTACTCGATCTATGCTTTAAACTACTTTAGATTTATGAACTCACCAATTTCAGGGAACCTTTCCTCGTAGAAACGTAATAACCAGTTAATTCGGCAAACCGCTACTTCGCCCCTTCTTAAAATGTAGATTACGGTCCCAATAACCACGGTTCCTGACGTGTTCATCATTAGCGAGAGTAAAATATGCTTAATTTTAACTAATGGATTGGGATTAACAATTTGGCGCAAAATCAGTAACGTCGAACTCCCAATACTGATGAAATAGAAGAAGAAAAACACTTCGATTAACCAAGGGGCAAATTGATAAATGTTTAACCTAGTAATTGTTGTGGCCTTAAGACGTCTCTGTTTCAGGTTGAAATCTATTGGCATCTTGCAGAGGTAGGAAGTTGCAGAGAAATTTATGGCCATGGCTTTGTAAGCTAGACGAGTTGGCATCCTGGATGTCTCACCGTCGGGTCGGAGACGCAAATAAATCAAAATATTCGTCAAATTATGCTTGATCTAAATAAACCAAAATATGTATGCCGGATTGGAGGGCATATCTTGATGCATGTTTGATTGGATTCGTTACGTATGTAGGTACGAAACCTACGTCACGTAGTTATTTGATTTATTAAATTTTCTTATTAGGTATAAATACTTAATCAGAATTTAAAATGTCGAGCACAAATTTCTGCTGCGCATTTTTCCACGACAATTCTTACAATGGAGGCGCAAACCATGCTCAGCCCAGATAATTTTTTGACCTTATTAGTTTGAAAGAGCAAGTCTTTACAAACAACATTTGGCTCGGCACTTGGGCAGATGCGCAAATTTCAGCACGTTATGGGCGCCGCAAGTTCGCAAAAACGCACGAAGTTGAGCTCGCGCTGGGCATTGCTCGAAAAATCGTGCGTTTTTGCGAACTTACGGCGCCCATAACGTGCTGAAATTTGCGCATCTGCCCAAGTGCCGAGCCAAATGTTGTTTGTAAAGACTTGCTCTTTCAAACTAATAAGGTCAAAGAATTATCTGGGCTGAACATGGTTTGCGCCTCCATTGTTAGTGTATTTACATGTATTTATACACTCTACATAAATTACTTGGAGTCTCCAAGTAGGAGATACATAATTCGTCACCGAGGGGGTATCGAATACAGTATGTACATGCCTTACTTTAGGGTAATGTTTATTGAGATGTTTTATCACTTAGCAGGACAACCCTTCACCGACAGAATCACCGATCTTAACGCCCTTTGGATATGTTGTAGTCCTAGGTGAGTCTAGCAAAAGTGAAGAAGGATTTCATTCCATGGCCCCATTTGCGCCCGCCACACCCACTCAAAGGTGCGAAAAACACGAAAAATACCCTGTTTTCGTTCATTCAAAAAATCACCAAAAATCCAATTTTGATCGGATTTTCATAATTTAAGCGTTTTTGTGATCTTAGATAGTTGCTTTATCATATCCAATAGCAAACTCAATTTTTTTAAATTTTTTGAGTATTTTCGAAAATTTCCTGACCAGGGGTATGCCTTCGAAAAAATCATGTAATCAATTATGAAAAGTCTCTTTATCTAATTCTGAAATTTATATGTATCTTAATATTACATGTAGGTAGTTTGATTAAAAAACATTTATTTGTCAAGCATTCCATCTTCATAAAATTATTACATCGAATCCTCAAATTTCTCATCAATCTTTGCACACGCACACATTTTCCCAGTTCTCATTCCATCCACTAGTTCGCCGTATGATTTCTTTTCTTCCACTGCTGCATTGATGTAGGCCGATATGGTTTCATTTGTACAAAAAGTGGCGTCATGGCGAGAGATGCATTGCAATCCATTCGAGCATGTGATAACTTCTCTCAAACTGGTCAAAACCACGCCACGAGGAGGTGGTTGTGGGGGCCAACATGGAGCAGATTCCGACCAGCGGCACACCATTTTCCCCCTGACAGCGTCATCTTCCAAGATATAGTTGGAAGCCTTGTACTTATCACCCAGCTGGGCCTGAAATATTAAATTGAAAATTTAGTATCATTCCAGTTTTTATGACCTGCGTGGGTGTTTCTTGTTAAGCGTCTTTGATAGGATTGACATTTAAATGTTCTTAATCACGTAAAATATGCAGGTATGTATGTATGTTGTTCAGAACCAATACCAATACTAAAGCCACCTCCCTCAACCAGTTTTTCTCTATTGGGCTAAATACCTAGTTACATTATGTACATATGTAAGTATGTATTACGTAGATTTAACAAATATATACTTACATACACATGTACATACATTTGCTGTCGAATTTTTATAACCGGTCACCTAATTTGCGTAGGTATTATTTTGACGCATTCGCAAGAGATATAGAGTTTATTCTTCATGGAAACCTCATATCGCCGAAATAGGCATAGTGAGATTTATGCAAATGAGATGACAAGCCTAACTAATAGGATAGTACATATTAAGCATATTTCTATTTACATATGTACCTGCATAGCGAAATCGCCACACTCACACTTTTCCGTCGCTTTGTCACAAACCAAGAAGCTCATCGCTTTACAGTATTTCCTCCCGCGCTCGACCGTCCCGCGGATAAAATTGTTGGATATATGCATGGCAGGCTTACTCCCTCTGGGAAATGGTAGAGCCTGCAAGTAGGCGACTTGGCGGAATTTTTCGTCCTCCCAGGAACAAGGGTCCTCGTGTTTCAACGAGTTGGCGAGCACATATTTCAAAAAGTAACCGGCTGGGAGACCCTCGTCCTCGGTAAGATTTTGAAAATTGTTACATATTCCGGACCCAAGTAAGAGTAAGAGTGTAAAAAGTATGGAATTTCGATAACTTGAAATTTCCATGCTGTACGAAACTATGTGCAGATATATGTTGAGCTTGTCTTACGCAGTTGGGTAGCGATTGAGACGGGATTCCCAATTGGATTGTTTTAATATCATGCAAACCACACGATTAAAAACAATGTACCGTAAAAACTCTTCATAATCGTTTAAATGGTGACTTTAATCATGCTGGGTGTCAGCCACGGATTTTGTAAGTAGTATTCCACGGGTACTATTTAAGTTTTTATGGTACACATTTTATGTATGGTTTTCTGGAAGAAAGTGTTGATTAGATGGGTAAATAAAGCGTGCAAATTAATCGAGAATGCTTCATGCATAACATGGACATACATATATACATAGATATGTATGTATGTTCGATATACAGATAATATTTAAGAGTCTGTCATAGTAATGGAAGGATGGAATAGATCCAACAGGAAAACAGTCCAGCCTATCAGCCTAAACTTATTCCATGGAAATTAGTGCAACGTCAACCAGTGTTAATTGCAGTTCGTGGAAATGTGATGTGCAACCCATCAATTCAACATATATACATGACGCGTAAGAATTACTCAACGCCAGTTGATGAGTTAAGATAACAATGTGTTAAGTGGGAAATTGTTGTCGAGTTAATAATTTGCTGCTTCTTTCCTGCTCTATGTATGTAAATATGCACCTAATGTATTTTAGGTACATATTTTACGATTATTAGTCGAATATCTTTCTTATTAATTTAATTATGAGAATAAGTTAGTTGTTCACTAAACATTTTAGGACATTTTAAGTATTTTATATTTATATATACATAGGTACATATACATAAATGGTCAATCCACGAATTTCCATAAAAATACACATTTTTTATTGATTGCCTAAATATTCCAAATAAACAGTTTCGTGGAATAATTACTTGTCATCCGATTGGAAGAAGAAATTATTTCCTGTCACTTGTACATACCTACATACATACATATATAAACGTAAATAGTAGAATTATTGTTGCTGGTCAACTCATTTGGATAAATCGCACTAACAAGGGACACTCACGACCTGTCGTTTGAGTCCAGGGTACCCACCATGTTTTTTAGAATCTACTAGGACCCCAGATGAAGGATTCATTCATATTTCCGTGTAAAACTCATATTTGGCGACGTGGCGTGGCGCCAAATTCGCCAAAATTGAATGTTTTTATTTTTGAAACCGCCATAACTTTTGAAATTGTGGACGGATTTTCAAAATTTTTGGCAAAAATCATGACAAGGAGTTCAACTTTCTTATTCCATGAAATTTTTTCTAAAATTATCGCTTTTAACTTTTCGCAAAATTTCGTAATTTTCTTCGAAATGGGGGTTCGTCGAAAAAATCCTAAAAATATTGCAAAAATTAGAAATTTTTTATTTTTATTTTTTTTGTCAAAAATTTCGACTTTTGTGATCATTTTAAGCATAAAATTTTGAAAATCCGACATAAACTGCAAAAGTTATGAGGGTTTGAAGTTGGTCGAAAATGCAAATTTTTAAGTTTGGCGCCACGCCATGGCGCCAAATATGAGTTTTACACGGAAATATGAATGGATCCTTCATCTGGGGTCCTAGTAGATTCTAAAAAACATAGTGGGTACCCTGGACTCAAACGACAGGTCGTGAGTGTCCCTTGTAAGCCCATTTTCGGCGATACATGTATTTCATGTTGAATAAACCCCATGTTTCTCGCTAATTCGTCAAAATATGTACGCAAATGAGGTCAGACGTACGAATAATTCTTCTGTGCATAGGTATAGATATGTACATATGTACATTATATTAAACTTTGACAAAAGGGAGAAACCACGTTAAATATGTGTACATAAGCCATACAAATTATAGATAAATACATACAAATTTGCAGTTACATAAAAATACATTCAACTTATTCTCAGTTCCTTTACTATTCAAAATTGCCAACGCAAGAACTGTCTACATATATATATATATATATTTCCAGGACTCCATAATCACAAAACTTTTCTTTTCAAAACCCGATCCTACAAACACTTAATTTATTATATAAGACGTACCATTGTACGATAAAATATCGCACAACATTTCGAGCCGTAAATATTTCACATCCCATTTTCCAAGTATGACCACAACCATTGGCGACCTTACTTTTGACCTTACACATTCGCATAAGACCTTTCCGTCCCCCGTTTCAGTTAAAATAAAGCATATCAATGAAACCCCAGATGACGAGGAATTACCCTCTCTTCGTCACCAATTGCGATATTATCTCATTTTTGGTAGAATTTTGGGTGTGCTCCCAATTAACGGAGTTTTCCATCGAGAAAAGCAACTTTCTTTCAGGTAAGCAATGCACTTGCACTCTTAGAAATCCAGTAGTCAAATAAAACCAAGCGCTATTTATATATGAATCTTATTTCTCAGTGTCAAATGTTTAGCACGTTATTTTTTCCCAGCTTGTTCAGCCTGGCATCTTTGACAACAATTGTCATCGCATCCTTGACCGGATTTAATGGTCTGGTCAACTTGATCGGAAGCTTCAGAAAGAGGAAGAGCAACGCTTCAGAGATCGCTTGGGCTGCTGATCATCCCATTTTCTACATTATTGGAACATATTGGTAAATCTAGTTAGAAATATGATACTAACTATTGCCCATAACAATTTTACGGTTTCACATACACATACATATGTACATCTACGTACCAGTGCAGTATATTCAAGTGACCTTATTTACTTGAAGCCGTAAACGCCGCTTCGCAACTTTGCCATATTTGAAGAGTTGCGATAAACTTTGTGTCAACCGATCAGAATTTTTAATTTTTTACGAAATATGCGACACAAGCGGGAATTTATTATGGGGGTATTCACGTCAACTTGGTAAACTGTAGACGTCGCTTCGCAATACGCAACTTTACCATGCTTGCGAAGAGTTGCGATATGCGATTCGACAGCCGATCACTACCATTCATTTTTTTATGAAGTGCATAAGTATGCAAAACCAACAGGTATTTATTATCGTCGTAAATTTTTTTCCGCAAACTCTGTCAAGTGACTCATTTTCATTTTATACATTTTTCCTCAAAATAATTCAAGACACAAATTTCGCAAAGACTGCAAAGTTGCGACGTTGTGTGGCAAAGCGATGTTATTGAGCGACATGAATACCCCAGGTATATTTTTTATTTATTTTTCAGCTGTATTATCTTCTGGATTAATGGAACTAAATTTTGTCAATTATTCAACCACTGGAAACACACCCTCTCAAAATTACACTTCCCAATCAAAGACAAAACGTTACCCCGAGACGCCGCGATTTACGCCGGGGTAATCTTTATGTCTGGAATCCTGGAAAATGTTTTCTGGAATTTGCAGTATTTCCCCTTATTTAATGGTGAATCTGCAAAATTTTCATTTTCCGGTGCCCCTGCTTCACATCAAGAAGATCTCTCCCCGTTGCATAATTACTACCGAGTATCACACGATTGGGAACAACTCATCCCGTATCATCCATTTTGGGGGGTTTTCGTATTCCTCACGAATAAGACTTCTTTGTACGCCTGGAATTATGTGGACGTTCTGATCGGAATATTTGCCCGAGCGTTGTACGGTCAATTCAAAGGATTGTATGAGATTGGGAGCGAAATCGTAATGGCGAGTGGGTGTCATAATGATGCCTCAAGATTTGGAGATCACGCCTCCTTCTGGTCACATCTTGTCCGAGATTGTGGAATCATTTGTCAAGTGGTGGCGAAATTTCAAGAATTTCTATCACAAATTATCTTTGTAACGTACGCGGGCAATATTTACTTTCTCTGCTTGCAGGTTTGTGAATTTTTTCGCAACATTGAGAACAATGTATGTATCACTGTAATTATCTATGTAATTGCCAATGAGGCAATTCACGCAGGATATAGCGACGATGTAAAAGCTATAAATTCCAGAATATTTCAAACATTTCTAAGGAAAATTTTTACAAACTTGCTCAGATCATGGGCGTCTTTTTACCTTGTAAAACTCACGGAGTTTACAAATTGCCATGCGTCAATTGCCTCAGTAGTTTACATACATCAAGAGATACTAAAATTATAAAGCTCCATAATTTTGGCAAGCTTCTCCAATGCATTTTAAAAGAAAATTTAAAAAATACATGATTTTTCTTCCAAGTCTGAGATACTCATATATTTTCGAAAATTCAATGAATTGGAATACTTAGTATGAACTTGTAATTTCTACAATTAATTTTATTTTTACGTAATTTTTCAGCACTGCATGTTCCCACTAATTTTTTAATTTGATGTCTGTCTTCCCAGATTTTACTAGAACTCTCTCCAACTTCTCCTTCGGAGAGCGTCCTCTCTAAAATTTACGCTACATGGTCCTTCCTGCAAATTATAATGCGATTCTTTACAATGTCCCTGCTTTGTGCCCGGATTTATTCATATGCTCACAAATTTACCGGTTTACTCGAGAAATGTCCAATGGAAATGTACACTCCAGAGGTATCTATTTGTAAAATGACACGTGGATTTTATTTAAAAAATTATAGATGCTCTTGTTCGAATCCTTTTCAGTTGGCCCGTTTTGAGAGAAAATTGCAAAGTGGGAGTATTTGTTTCACCGGTTTGGATTGTTTTGTGATTACAAAACCTTTAATTCTTAACGTCATTGGGGTCATCGTAACGTTCGAGATTATCTTGTTGCAGTCTCTTTCGCAAAGTGCAGCTACAGTGGAAAACTGCAATTGCACAAAAGTGTAGATACATACATACATATGTACGCTTTATTTATTTACCTGCAGAAATTATTATGTACATATGTAGCTTTCTTCGCCATTTCAGCTTTCGGAATAAATTTTCTTTCATTTTTTTTAAAAAGTTGATGCTCCATAAGGTATGCAAATCCCACTTGACCAATTTCTCTAGCTCAATTTCCCCTGATTCTATAAATTAAACCATCATGCATATGTTGATACATGCATATTTGCAAAAAACTCATATTCTTGTCAATTTCAAAATCTAAACAAGTGTGCATTAAATAGATAAATCAATTTCCCAGCACTGTAGATAATTAACAAATATTATTTCCAAATTAGTAAGTATTATGACAACAATGTCCACAGTAACAAATATACATATGTGCAAATGCATGGTGACCCTATTATCGAACCTCCAAATTAATCATACAATAATAACAATTCATACTAATTAATTGCTTAATTAAGATATGTAACTTTCTGTTATGTATTCTTTAATTTACAGTCGAAATGGCGCAAGTACGAGAAATATATCCCAGCTTAAGCTCGGACTGGACAGTGAGAATTCTTGTCGATTAAAAAAAATATTGAGGATATTCATAATTGTCTTCGTATCCTTAGCATCGTAAAATAGTTTACTTAAAAACAGAAGCGGCCAACCTTCGTAAAAATTGTAACCTTTGTAACGCGATTTTGAATGACAAAATTATACGACGCTTACAAAATCTCTTAACCATCGTAACTTACATATTTTGCGATGCGAAGAATACTAAGGTTACAAAGAAGTCTGTTCGCACTAGTAGCAATAAGTGCGCTCTCGTCACAGATTTTCGACACACTTGCCATAAATGACATGACGCTAATTACAAGTAAGTAAATCTCTTTTGACGCTTTGATAATTTTTATGGCTAGACTTTAACAAAATGTAAAAAATCAGAACTTCTTTAAAATCTATACATCTATATCCTATCTTCAGTTAAACGTATCTTTCTTCGATCTTGGCAGCCTATCTTTTCTCGTGCTCAGAACGACGCCATGAGTCCCCTTCATATGCAGAGTTAGCGCTGAGTTGAGGACGAACCCCTTTCCGCACTGTTCGCAGGTGAAGGGTCGTTCTCCAGTGTGTGCCTGGCGGATGTGGCCTTCAAGAAGGAGAGGATATTGGAATGCTTTATCGCAGTGCGAGCATTTGTGCGGGGTGGGGGTAACGTAGCCCGGAGTGTGGATTCCCTTCACGTGCACCCTCAAATTGGTCTTGTTTCTGAAGGCTTTCTTGCAGTGGGGGCAGGGGAATGGTCGCTCTCCCGTGTGAACGCGCATGTGATCCTTAAGAGTTTCAACCCGGATGAAAGAGGCATCACAATTCTAAAATTGCAAAAATTAAGTAAATTTCTCACAGAATTCAAAATGTGAATTAATCTATAAATCTATTCATCATTGCTCACAAAAACTTTCGCACATATTTATCGCAAATTTCGGACAACATAATATGTTGTCCGAAATTTGCAATGTACGTATATATTATATACGTACGTTTCACTGGAAAATCATGGATTTTTTTGTAAAATTGTTTCGCAAGTTCATTTTTGCCATTACAAACCACAGAAACTGAATCGAATTTTTGGTTGGATAAAATTCAAAAAATTTCCGGCGTTAACAACTACTTTTTATGAAAGGAAAAAAAAATATTCGTAATTACCTGACATTTGAACTTTTTATCTCCAACGTGTATCTTCTTGTGTAATTTTAACCCTTGCTGCGACGTAAAGCTGCCACCGCTACATATTTATTGCCAAAACTTTACTCACCCATCAGAAACTTCTTATCTAACAAATTAAATTATGTACATACCATTCATCACAAATGAACGGATCCTTCCCATGCACCTTGATCTGATGAGACTGTAATCTCATCACGTCTGGAAAAGTTTTATTACAAGTGTCACATTTCACTCGTGATTTGCCCTCGTGCCGATTCAAATGGCCTTTCAGATCGCTCGGAAGATAGAACGCATTTCCACAAATGTGACAAATGTAAGAAGCAGGAGCGCCGGAATGTGCGCGTGCAATGTGGCGCTCCAGCGTCAACTTGTCGCGAAACTGAGCCTCGCACTGCGAACACTTCTCCGGCCTTTCCTTACTATGTACCCGCATGTGTCTGAAAACGTAAAAAAAATTGTCACGTGTCCATCATAAAACAATAAAAAAATGAAATATTTACATTTCCAGCGCCGCCCGGCTGTTACACCCCCTCCCACAAGTAGCACACTTCCACGGGTTAATTTCATCATGGCTGGCTAAATGTTTCTTTAAACGTTCCTCACTTTCGAATCGGTTATCGCATACGTCGCAAACGAAGGGTTTGATTCCCTCGATGTCATGCAGTTTCAAATGTCTCGCCAAGTTTTCTTCGAGACAGAACCCCTTCCCGCATTTGGTACAGGACAATTTCTTCTCTCCTGTTTCATGTTTAATCACCATGTGAGCATCGAGGACGTTTTGGCGACGGCACTTTTTCCCGCAAAGGCGGCACTGATAAGGAGAAAGGCTCGCGTGGTCGCGCTTGATGTGGGCGTCCCTCGCTTTCTTGGTGGCAAAGAGAGCGACGCATGATGGCGCGATGCATGCCACGCGATGGTTTCGTTTCTTATGGAGATTCAGGGTGGCTCGCTTGATGAAAGATTTCGGACAGGAGATGCATTTGTAGGGATGGATGATTTCGGCGGTGGCGGTGACATCGTCAACTTCCGAGTCAGAAGGCGAGCTGTCGTCGGAGTCAGAAGTGTCGTCGTCATTTTCACTTTTTGGAGAGAGTAGGATGACGGAATTCTTGTCGTCGGAGTCAGGGTTAGATTTTGAATCCTCCAAGTCCGATGGTGGAGGTGGTGGTGGTGCGGATGTTTTAATCCGTTGGACCGAAATTACAAGAGTTTTGGGTGTAAGGGTCGAGATTTTGGCAGTTCGGGGGGAGAATCGTGTCGCATGTGGGGTGGGGGAATCCAGTTTTGAAGTTTTTGTCGGCTTTAATTGTTCTTTTGCGGGGAGAGATTCCTCTCTTTTCCGTTTTGTGCTAGAAAAATCGACATATTTATATGTCTAATTAAATTTTGTAGCTCTATTTATGAATAAATTGTCCTACCGAGTGGGACTTGTTTTGTTTTCTGTCGCTAATTTTTTAGGTCTTCCCCTCGATCTCTTTTGAGTCGAAGGAGTAATACACAATGCAGCGTCGTCTTCGTTCCCATCGGGATCCGTGGCTTTCGCCTCTGTCGATTTGGGGACATTTATCTCCTCGGAATTATAATCGTCATCACAGACTTGGTCATCATCCTCCACTTTGATTTCAAATCCGTCTTCTTCTTCACTTTCTCCTAATTAAAACCACATTAAATATTTACAAAAGCCTGGTAACTAATTGGGGATTAAGAAATGTATATATTTACCACCTGTCACGCGGAGAATCATGTCCCGAATTTGTACAATTTTCTCATCTTTATCATCCCCATTAATTTCTAGTTGGGCCGAGGTGCTACAAATTGTGGTACGAATTTGTTGAATTTGATTTCCAATTAGTTCCTCCAGCAGAGAAATTTGTGTCTTAATTTCATGCAACGTGCCGACGAGAGGATAACAATCTTCGCAAAATTCACAAACTTCCTCCTCAGCGAATTCAGATTGGGGAGACAATTTGGAATTCGGGGATGACAAAAGTTTGCAAAGAATTTCGATTTTAATTTTTTTCGGGGATTTTGATATTCCTGTGATAACTTGTAAGCAAAGAAGGCAGCGTTGGTTGGACATGGTGGTGATGATTAAATCTAAAGATAAAAAATTAAAAAAGTAATTAATTATTATTTGAAGCGCAAATTTAGGCAAAATTTAATTAGACAATTTAGTTAATACCGTGGAAGTCCGTTACCTTATAGTTTAGAAGGCAAATTACTTTCTTATTAGTTTAAATTTGAAATTAATAATTGAAAATTTGTGCAATTAAAATTAATCGGGTTAAATGTTAAATAATATGACGAAATACAAAATATGTGGAATGTGTTGTTTATTTTGTATTTCTTGTTTGTCGGGAAACCAGGAAGACTCAAATTCGTGCCAAACTCTTCCTCGTCTCGTCTCGTTTGTTGCTCCACGTTGAAAACAAAGGAAGAATTTTCTCATGCAAAACCTTGTAAGTTATGAATTTTCCATGCGGCGTGGAGTTAAATAAAATGTATGTATGCATGTAGGAAATATGAAATATGTCGTCCCACATTATAAATAAGTACGATATGAAGTAAATCGTTTCCGAAGCCAAGGTATTAATAAAAACTAGTCACCCTCTTCCTTTTTGGGGAGGGCGTAAAAACCTTTATTCCATGGGAAGAAATTTGTTTAAATCACTAAAATAAGTGCCTTTAAAACATTATCAGTATATTAAGCTACATGCATTCTTGAAGTGTTCCTAATGATTATGAAACACATGATTACATCTCATATATATGCATGTATGTACAGGGTGGTTAAAATGTCACGCCACAATGGAAAATTTTTCGATGGGAAAAAATCGTAAATTTCCATTAGTTACCGAAATTTTGTCTCTAAAATTCAACATTTCAAGAATTTCGTCATCAGTATTCCATCAGTTTTTAATAATTTTATTAAAATCTTAACCAAAAATCTTGTAACTACATAGTCTCAACTTAAAAAGTGATAGTAGAGACGACTATATTAGGTTAGTTTTAAGGAATTTCAAATTTATTCTTATTCCATTGAAAAGCCAGTTAAATTTCAAGTAGAAAACATGTATTAAACTTGAAAATATATTCCTCCTGTGACCATGAAAAATTGGTCACGAAAGAGAAAGCTCCATCAAAAATACGCACGAAATTAATTGACAAACTGTGTCATTCCCGGGTAAGAAATTTTTTTGTGACCCTGACGAATATATGGGGCTCAGAACAGACCTTTTCCTCAATTGTAATCAATATTTGGTGGTGAAGTTGTCTGCGGTTCGAAAATTCCAATGCAAAACCTAAAGTGCAAATGAGGTCAGAAATATGGATTTTAATCCAGTTTTTCACGAATTTCGCTGTAAATGCTACTGTGGACGCCTTCACAAAGGTCGGTGGCTTTTCACCCAATATGGACTAGTTGATGCGTTGTTCCTTCTTCACCAGGACATTTATCAAATATTTTTTTAAACTATCTCCTCTCCTTAATCAAGGAAATTGGGCTGTTTTTGCTCAATTCCGCCGATTCCCGCCAAAACCATGAATAGAGCTTGATAAGATAACATTTTGACCTTTATTTTGTAATCTGCTAACCCTTTGACTATTTGACATAAAACGTGACAATTTTTTTGTTGAAATATATTCCTGTCGTAAAGAAATTATCATGGATAAACGGGTTAGTTCTTTGGTTTTATCACCGTACCGTTTGGGGAGAGAGTTCGATTTTTTGACCATTGCTTAGGCTTGGGAAATCTGTAGCATGTGACGCTTTCTAATCTAAAAGACCTTCATCTTAGGGTCACTTTTCAGTGCTAATCTGATCTCTAAAGTTGAAAGGTCATTTGTGTGGTCGAAGTCTCCGGCGTCAGACAGAGATTTTGTGCTATTATGGTATTAAAGCATCGGACATCACTGTAATCCTCCTTGACCTTGGACAACCGGAACTTTTATGTCATAGGTAGACACTGTCTCTAGGATTACATTAATAGTTTGGGCAACCAGATCGTAGTTGTACTTGGACTGCTACACTACATCAAACATTGAGCATTTTTTTCTCGTGCAAAAAATGAAAAATTATTGCCGCGCGCGTGTAGCTAAGCTTCTCCTACTTTTGACCTAGTGACGTCAAGTAAAAACGGTCAACACCAATGATAGGCACTGAATGTATGCACAAACCGCAACTGACCTTTTAATTTTATGTTGACCAGTTCAAAAACTACGCTCTACTATCACTTCTTATGGGAATACTATGTAATGGAGATTTAGGGATTTTTCCCAGTGAAAAATTTTCCATTGTGGCGTGACATTTAAACCACCCTGTACAAAAAGCCCAACACAAACTGGCTAATACGTCATGAAGGGAATTATGTAAGTATCTACATGCATACGTATGATTATGGTGGTTTTAACTTTTACACATGTTAATTTTTCAGTTTGATCATAATTTAAGACAAAACTTTAGTTCTATAGTTATATATGTAAATATATGAATATTACTTTATTAATTATTAAATAAAGACATCGATGGCCGTACGAAGTAAAAAAAAGAACAGGAGTAAGTACCTCGAGATTCACGAAGACTTTAACTATGAAAATGCTTACATGAAGGTTATGTGCATATTTAAGGGGCAAGTAATGTATAGTTAATCACTAATCGTGACGCAATTAATGATTTTCTCTTTACCAGAAGTATGTATTCGTGTTAAGGATTTTGAATATTTATGTTGTTTTCATTTATTTCAAATATATAACAGTGTTTTCACAACGCAGCAAAATTATGTGTTATGATTACTTACTCCGACAAGAATGTTGTTTGCGTGTGCATGGAAAATACCAAATTACCACCTTACATACTTATTTAAGAACTCAGTCCAATCATTCAGCAATCAACCCATTTATCTACATATATTGATCTTTGTCACATTAATTAAATTTTATCAGCATTTAATTAAGGAAACGCAATGAAATATTGCATTTTTGTGTTTCATCATCACATCTTGGAAGATAATTTTGAAAACAGTCAGAGTAAAAGAACACTACTTAACTCAAAACCATTTTTTTTCTATACAGTGTGTCCACTTAAGAACGAGTCCACTTTTGGGGGGGGGGTAATAAAAGTGATTTTATTTGTACTAAAATTTTTTTTAACATAAATCCTTTTGGTATACAATACCTTAGTATTTAGTGATGCCTCCACACGCAATTTGCATATCTCTAATTCGTTTAGGGAAACTCTGCGTCAGATTTTCCAAAACGGTAACCGAAATTTCCTTCCATTTTTTTTGGAAGCGTCGAATTAAAGAAGAACGGGTTCGTGGAATTGGCTGCTCATACGCGCTATTCTTGAGATAGGGCCACAGATTCTCGATTGGGTTCAAGTCCGGGCTATTTCCTGGCCAAGTCCCCTTCCCCCAGACTGTTGAAATGTGCTCCCCTAGGAGGCGCATGCTCTCTTTTGCAGTGTGAGCTGGTGCCCCATCCTGCATGAAAGTTATTTTTTTCTTACTTGGAAAAAGTAGCTTATTGTCCATGGCTTCGAAGTAAGTAGGAAGAATTTTGTCACGGTAATAGGCTCCGTTTACATTTTGACCACTCGGAATGATGTGCAAACGAGAGACGCCCCTCGAACAGTACCCAGCAGCAACCATAATCTCAAGACTTTTTTTCGGTGTAGATGTTGCTGGAACCTCCGTTCTTTTTTCTGTCCTGTACCTTGTGTTCTGAGGATTCCCCCGAGGGTGAAGATAAATCCAAGTTTCATCGGTAAATAGTATATGTCGACGTTTTTCTTCACCCCTTTCACCCTCTGTCAAATAGCCGTTTTCGTCCAAAAAGTTACCAAACTTTAACCTATCTTCAATATTTTTGGCAGACAAAAGTGGTTTTTTAGATCTCTTGAAAGCTTTATTTCCCCATGTGGTGGTTTTTAGATGATTTTGAATGGTAGATTTGCTAATCTTTTTATCCATCCGTTTGAATCGATTTGTGAGATTGATGGCGGCCGCACATTTTCGAGTGGAACTGCCAGTTTTTCGGTACATTCTAGTTTTAATCATATTTTTAGTGGTAGGTGACAGTATGGTGGGTTGTCCAGGCCTTTTTTTGTCAGCTGTTGACTCTCGGTTTTTCCAACGCTGGACAGTACTTCTTGCAACTTTGATTTTTTCGGAAATTTCTCTCTCGGAGTATCCCTCCTCCAATAGTGTTTGAATTTCTATTCTTTTCCGTATTCTGTTATATAAATACTTGGTATACATTTTGTAAAAAAATCACCTGTGTAAATAAACAAAGAAAAAAGTTATGCCAATTTGTATTACCTAGTGCTCATGGTAGTTTGGTGGACTCGTTTTTAAGTGGACACACTGTATGCAATTATGATTTTCGTAGACCATTCCTTCAGTACATATGAATATTACTTCTCCCAGACTTTATAAGCATCAGTGACACTGTCTGATTCAGACAGAAATTCTGAATCACTAAGGGCGTCCCGTTGTCGATGAAATTTGATCCAAATTTGATCTTCAAAATCGCACAAGATTTCAACTGCTTCCGTATCGTGGTTTTTCTCAGGTGTTGTACCGTAGTCCTATCCAATTTCTTCAATGATTTCGTCGACGCATTGAATACCCACGAGGCCAGTGTGAAAACGAGAATATTGTTCGCTATGGCGTCCACCAGAATCAGGGGGAATATGAGAAAGACCGGCATAGCTATGTTTTCATGCATCGTGATGGTCACATATTGCGTAACCACTTGCAAGGCTGGTATCGAAAACACCAAAGTGGGGACAATCTTTTCCCTGAGAAATGCGTTCATCAATTTTTCAATCAGTTGAATTCTTCGAAATGCTGAGACACATAGCTCATAATCGGTTAGTGAGACAGCCTCCAATATTTTTCTAAATTGGTAGAAACATCAGAATAAGATTAAGTACAGGGTGGTTTAAGTATCCGGGTTGGAAAGTTTTTCAATGGTAAAAATTCGCAAATCTCCGTTAGTTACGGAAATTTTGACTCTGAAATTCAATACTTTAAGAATTTTGTCATCAGTGACCCCTAAGTTTCGATAAAAATTAATAAAAATCTAAATCCCAAATCCGTAACTGATGGAAATTTACGAATTTTTCACATTGAAAAATTTTTCCTTTGTAACCTGACATTTAAACCACTCTGTATGTAAGTCAGAAATCTTTAGCTGAATTTTTTTACCTCTCCAAGAGTTGAAAGTAATTCAAGATAGAACTAATCCCTGCAAAGAGATTATACACGATGCGATCCGTGCCAATGTAGAAGAAGCACATGGAAAGATACAATTCCACCAGGGGTACTATTATGATCCATCCGTCCCATCTAATTTCTGAACATCGTCCCCAAGTGGACAGAATGAAAGGAGGGGTA